TCCATCCATACTATCTGTTTCTACTAGTTCCATCCCTCTAGTTGAGTTGAGAGATGTTTTCCTGTTTCCAGCATCTCCATTGCCATCATGGTCCTTAGCAATATGTAAGACTTGCTTTTGTAAATATTAGATATTTTTTTCAAGTTACTTTGAACTTTCTAGACCCCAGCTCTAGCACTGCTGTGAAGTAGTTGTGAACTGGAAAAGGGTTCTGGGTGTGGGCATCTCAATGCACACAGCAAACATCTTGACTTCAGACTTCTTGTGTCCAGTACTAGCACATTTATTATCATTGCATCTGAAAAAGTAGGCTGTTGCTTACAAAAGCTTTTGTGTCTCTTTGAATGATTTAGTCTGTGAGGTACCATCCTGCCCTATCTTCTGCCTCGCATGTACAACAGGAGAATGGGTGTAGTGAAGGACTGGTTTGCAGTAGAACTGTAGACCATAGGGACTTTTGCCTTCTGCAGTGTGGGTCATGGGTCTCGTCTTAAGATATGCAGACCATATTTGTGGTACTGTACCACAATGTGGACAAGTACAGTTGAAGGATCATCCATGGGGATGCCAACTAACTAATCCAGAGGGTCCGTTAATCCTCTATAACCCACAGGTAGTCAGGTCTGGAGCATTAAAGTAACTTAATTTCCCTGAGCATTGATCTACTGCCCAACCCCACTCAGAGTTGGAAAGAGTAGCTACACACTACAACACAGGTAAGTTGAGCAATATAAACTGTATTACACAACAAAACCCGTGCAACAACTACTCAACGCAATAGTCCCATAACACCCAAACCACAACACAATAAAATACACCCGATGGGACAATAACCGGACGCACATCCCAAACCCAATGTCCCTGGTCACAGAGCCAATCAACTACACATTACAATGAGCTTTGGTCACTACAGTTAACTGCTGTGCAACTTTACAGACACCCCAGAAGCCACAGGTGGCAGCAAGAACACCCTGGGCCTAGTCAGCAGGAGAAACCCTCTGACAGTCCCTGAGGATTTCTAGCTTTTCCCCGCTTAGGTACTCAGCACCTCAGATAGGAAAAGGGTGATACTTTACCCAACTGCAACTTCCCAATGACCAGGTCACAGCAAGGAACCTGCACTTGATGAACTCCTAGTCCCCGAGAGCCCGGAGTCAGAACTGTCCAGTCAGAGTGAGAGCGAGTCCGAGCCCGAGCCCCTGCTGGCTGCTTCGGACAGGATTTATAGCCTTCTAATCATGCCACCTGTCACTCACCCAATGGTCCAATCATCGCCTTTTTCACAATACCCAATCAAATTCAAACCTGGGCAGTACTTAAAAGGACCAATCAATTCAAACGACTTCAATTCAATACAAGCAACATTATCATAACTGCCTGATTAATAGATCAACATTGATAAACAGTTGCATTACCATTATACACTGTGCATGCCCAGACTACCTTAAAAGTAGGTCAGGACTTCATCAAGGTTGAGAGTTCAAACCCTCTAGAAACTTCTCACCTCTAGTCATATGGCACAGGCGTGGACTTTCACTGTTCTACACAGTAGCAGTGTTCTTGGCACTTCTGGTTTTGTGCATTGGAAGTGGTGATTTCTGGGATTCCTTGGGCAAAAGACTGCCTGTAAACACAGGGGACTTGACAGGAGGCCCCTTGCGATCCTCTTTCAAAGGTAGCCAGTAAAACAAACTGAATTAACTTACAGAAAACTGTATCTTTCCCCAAACAACCCTGCATATTTGCTTTGATTTATCTATTAACTAAATTATAAACTTGTGAAAGTAGTTAAAAATGTATCACATAGATCCTGTACTTATTATTGCTTATCATAAACAAAGATACCTATCCTTTGTTGCATTAACTTAAATGGACTATGATATTTGTTATTTTGATATTTTTGTGATACATATTTTAGGGTATTATCCTGGCCAGTGTTGAATTCCCTTCACTTCTGATACCAATAACAGTTTAAGGACAGTCAGCAGCTTTACAGCAGGAGCTAGCAACCTTTTAGGAGTAGTGGACTAAATTTAACAGAGCCAGGTCCAAATGTGGACCACCACTTCTGACCCAGCAGTTGCTGTACGCTGGCCTGGTACCAACATCCTTGGCTGCAGATTTGCTTTAGATGTCCTGGCTTCACAGGCCAGGTAGAGTTGCTTGGTGGGCTGGGTCCAGTCTGTGGGCCATAGGTTGTTAACCCCTGCCTTAGAGGATAAAGACAACCAGAATATCAGACAAATATTCACATTTTAGCCCTTGGCAGATAAGGTTGTTCAGGTAAGTCTGATATGTTTTATTAGACCAACTCAAATAGTTGGAAAAATTCTTCTTAGTGAGCTTTTGGGTTTAAATACCATTCATTAGGCTGTGGAGGCATCTGCAGTTGGTGTGTGCTCTTCCTGGATGGAATGAATGAAAAGGCCAGAGGCTGGTATACATGCAAGAAAGCTAGTGAAGATGTAAATTGAGGAGTCAGTGGGTGAGAGACAGGCTAGGGTGGGAGGGGGATGAATGTAACAGGTAAATAGTGGAGAGGTACCTGGGGAGTCACTTGTCAGGCAGGTTATAATGCGTCATAAAGCCAATATTTATATTTAGTCCATGATTTTTTGTATCCAGGAGTTTGATGAAGTGAAGTTCATAGGCTTGTCTGTGAAAAGTGTTTTGTAAATTCCCTTTGAGCCTTAAAATTGAGGCAAAAGTTAGGTGTTGCATATATTCACGGTCATGGAAAAAGATACTCATGTGATTAAAACCCCTATCCCACTCTATTGAAAGCAACTGTCTTGCTGTGGGATCAATGGGAAGAGGATCAGTACCTAAGTAAACAAAAGTAATTAAGGATTTGTAACCTAAAGAAAGAAATTGACAGCAACTATAGTGCATCTTAACTACTGCATGCATTCTTAACATTTCAGGAATCAAGGATTGCTAATCTTTTTTTCCCCACCCATACAGATCTAAAAACCATGAGCGAGCGACTCAAGAATAGGTACTACGTGACTAAGAAATTATTCATGGCAGACTTACAGCGGGTCTTTACAAACTGCAGAGAGTATAATCCTCCTGAGAGTGAATACTACAAATGTGCCAATATACTGGAGAAATTCTTCTACACAAAAATTAAAGAAGCTGGATTAATTGACAAATGACAATTTTGTCTTTCTTACAGCCAGTGTGCCTACTTATGGGCAGATGTACTACTCCATTTCCAGTAGAAACAGAACTTTTAATATATACTAAGAAAACTGTGTGTTATAATTAGCACTTTTAAAACCCTTTTAGTTTTGCAAACATGTATTATATTAAAATAATAGAAAATGTTTATTTTATTAAAATAATGCTTTATAATATATTTAACATTACTGTTAAACTTCTTTTGCATGTCCAGTTGCAGTATGTTCAATAATAGGTTTTTATTGGATATATCCTCAAAACTTTTGGTGGCAAATTGCACATGTTTGGGGATTTGGATAGAAAATTCCTGGACCATGAATGTTTTATCTTCTCTAATGCAGTATCTATTTGCAAAATAGTTTTTATTTTTTCCAGTAAAATATAACATTAAGAAAAAAATTGCAATTTAATTCAGAGGCTGAAATGTTGTGTCTAAATGTTTCATTGTAGAGTCTTATAAATATTTTTAAATGAGGCACTCAGCAGTTAAGGTGTGGTGAGAGAAGAGCAATTAGCTCTATGAAAGGAACTGCTTTGAATTAGAAGGAAATCCTAGATAGATACAAACTTTTCTATGGATTTTGTTTTTGACAAGTATTTTAACTGCAAATAATTTGTGAGTTCATAACCACTATTTAAAAAAATAATCTCTGACTAGATATGGAATGTTGTATTGACTTATGCAGGACATAAGTTCCCAGAAATTACTTAAACTGTGGTAGGTATATACTATCCTTGCCTTTATTTACTCTAACAGGGCTACTTTTTTATGTATTTCAATTAATCACCCCATTTTCTGTTCCACATACAGAAGAATTTGTTAGATTTCCCAAGATAGATGATGCAGATTTTAGCTTACTGTGCATACAGAATGTCACCCTCTTACAGTCTCCAGCTTATCATGTATGCCTCTGAGGTTAACTGGATTTTCTATCAAGCCCAACTGTAAATAATTTTATTAACTGTGATATTTAGATCCAGGGGCATATTTAAAGTTATACAGCTCATATTAGTATATCGCTAAGTATCAAATTAAGAACTTCTGTACATTACCACTTACACTACTTATAGGAAGTACTTACCTTCCTACTAATAGAGACTAAATTCAGGCCAAAAATAAATGATCACTTGACATTACTTTTCCAACTGAAATTTATAAAGAATAGAGTTTAACTTACATTTCTAGATGTTTTATATTACAGACGTTACACTGGTAAAGTTCAGCAGTTATCAGATTGAAAATACTGCATTGTGACGAAGAACATGTACTAGCAAAATCCCTGGGCAATGTTAAATCACAGTTCTATTCAGCAAGTAGTTATCAGAACTAGTTAAAGCACTTGTGGTACAAAAGGTATTCAAAACTGTTAATATTAGAATTGCCTCCATGCTTAATATAAGAAATCAGTCTAAATTACATTTAGATTTGTAACTAAGGTACAATGGTAATATTGTATTATAGCATCCAGTACCAGCTAAAAACTCTTTTGTAAACTGGGCCTACGGATGCACCTGTTAAGCTTGGTATCCTGTGAAAGTTTATTTTCTGGGTAGATTTTCTTATTGTCCCTATATCAGATTGTCTCTTCTGTAATTGAAAACATTTGTTTTCTAATTTTAAAAATTAATATTTTCATAGATACTGTGCAATAAAGCTACAGTAGGATGTGTGGTTTTGAAAATGCTTTAATAGCTAATGAATTTTACATTTGTAAAATTAATATATTGTACTGGTAACAGAGTAGTTTTAAATAATATATAAAAGCCTAATTATTTTGGTCTCTTATTTCAATGGCTCCGAAAGGATTTCCTAGTTTTTGCATTTAAAAATATGATCTGAAACAGCTTATAATTTCATATTTTGAACAGAGACTCATTTATCTACCAGTTGCATTTTAAGTGCCTGCTTTAAAGTTTGGTCTGTAGGCTGATACTCAGCACTCAAAGAATTATTTGGGAGTTTTAATGGTCTGCAGAAATGGGTGCTTCTACATGTTGCTTCAGTAACCTGAAAAGAAAATACAGTTATTGCTTCACGCTAGTTAAGGTGAAACACTAGTGTAGTGTCTTTGAATAAATCTTTTAGATTTAGTTGTTCAGTAGAGCTGAGCAAGTTTGGATTATATTTCTCCTTCAGATGTGTGCGTTTCTATGGTTCCCATTTCTTGCCTCTGATAACCCACTGCTGTTTGTACTGTATGCTGTTAACTATGCACTTCTATTCAGTTTGGTACAATTTTGGATGTTAATTCTCTTGAAAGGAACAATGAAATTCGAGAAAAACATCTTATCATACTTGGAGTAAGAACTAACTTGTCTTGCCCCACTTGACATTTGGTCTGGGAGTATGCCTTGCTAGTTGCTCTCAGTCTCTTGTTGGCATATTAGCCAGAGTGCAGGAAGAAAAGGCTTTGGACAAATTTCTGGGTTTACTATGGTAAATGTGGGAAAACAAGAATGTAAAGACTTTTGCCCCTCTTACTTAACAGAAAGCTACTCAATCCTCTGAGATGCCCCTTATACACTGATGTTAATTGGTTTTGATAGGCAGGACAACCAAAACCTGGATGCTTAGTTACTAATACAATTATAGTACATCCCCTTCAAATCTGGTTGTAATTAAGGTATATTTATTGTAAGTAAATTCCACTTTCCTTGCCTTCAGGAGTTTTACTTTATTCCCACCATACTATGGAAAAGCCTAATACTAGATCTGTTTAGAACTGGGCTTCTACAGCAGTGGATATTTACAAAATGTAATCCAACATTCAGAAAATACCACAAAAGTAATATCTGCTTAAGTTTCTTCCAAGAAGGGCTTTGACATTTACCAAGGACAAGGGTACCAAAACAAGGCCCACAGGCTGAATCTGCCCCACTGGACTACCAGCAGGCTGTGGCCAGGGACACGACCTGTTGCACTGTCTAGGGACCCAGGGTACATGGTGCTCATTGGCAGGAGTGCGAGGGCTGATACAGCTCCAGTCACCCTCCAGCTACTTTGCCTGTTGCCCTGCAGCAGCCATACCACCTGTGGTGGAGCCTGAACTGAAGCAACACAGAATATATGGAAGCAACAGATCCAGCTCTATCATAGGGCATGTGGCCAGGGCTGGAGCCTCTACTGCATGTCCCAGGATGGAGCTGGTGTTGCTGATGCCATTGCCACATGCTCCAACTCATAACTGGAGCTGCTGCTGCTGCTTCCTCATGCCCTGTCTGTATGTAACCGAGATCCAGCTCTGGTCCCAGGGCACAAGGTGAATTTGACACCCTGACCTGGGAAATCTGCATGAAAAGTTAACATACTGTGTTTTTTTTAAATCTGTGCTTAGAGTTTTTATATATGTACTGTTAGCTATATCTGCCCAGGCAAGGCTTCGTAGAAGAAAGGTTTTTAATTTTGTATGCAAGTCCCTCATTCTAGTCTAGCATAAGCTGTAGTATATTACATCCTGGCTTTCACACATACCTTGCAAGGATTGCAACCTTGACCTGGTGGGAAGACTTGTATGCTACCAATTACCTCAACAACAATGTTGTTTGGAGTTTTGTACTTCTGATACCCATGGTGGCAAGGTCAAGAGCAAGGTTCCTGACTAATACAGATCCAGCCTAATTTAGACTACTGATCTAGAGGTTGAGAAAAGAATACTTCAGGATGGCTACAAAGGTGGGTGAAGACTGCAGCAGAACAGAAACCTTTGGTCATCTAGGCTTTCCTTGCCATCAGATTAAGATTTCCTTTCTGCAAAATATTATGCGATTGCTGATCTACAGTGGCATCCCCATGTTAAAAGATGAGTCACAGGTGTGTCTTCCTTCAAGAGCTAGTCCTATGGCCATAGGTGAGTGGCAAGAGGCAGATGCTAGATGATTACCAGAAGTGGACCTACATAGGTTGTATGATGGTCATCTTGTACTTGGAATTGGGAAAAGTGTGCAATTCAGCAGCTATAATCATGACTGAGCAGGCCTATTTAGGATAGGCTCTGTTCACCCGCTATGGGGAAGAGGCTAGAAAAAAGATGCCCTGAGCATGTTCATTTTACCTGACTAGAAAAACTTTTGTCTAGTGGGATGGATCACTCTGTGATCTGATAACTTGCATGATTTGATATTACCGTGCTTAATAAGATCAGATGTGCAGGACAGGGGTCAGTTCATGGACCATGGTGGTGGCTATGCCTCTTTTTCTGGGGGAAAAAAAAAAAAAAAAGCCAAAAAAACCCATGTCCAGAGTGTTGGTTTTGCTACCAAGACCAGGATAGTTACTCAAATGCCAGAACATCCAGTTGGCCTCAATAAGCATCTGACCCTGTGTGTTCAACAGAATAAGAGACCACATGAAATAGTCATCAGTGCATGTGACCTAACCCTTGATGCAGGTGATAAAAGGGTTCTGGTCTAAACTTGACCAAGTCCTGTCATCCCATCTGTTCCCAAAGAAGATAAGTCTTTTGTGATTTCAGCACTAAAGAGTTGGGGGGGGAAGGTGGCAGACTGATGGACTCTGAACTACAAAAAGAAATGTTTGGAAAGGAATGGGTAGGCATAATCAATTCAAATGGAATTCTTCTGAGTAAATGTTCAGAACAAGATCTCATCAAACTCCTTATTCCACCAAAGCAACAAAATCAAAGTTTAAAACACTGGCACCTGATTGAGTACATGAGCCTGGGACAGTTGCAACGTCCATACCACCATAGCTACGGGTTATGAAGACAACTGCTAGACAGATTATCATTTGATACATTCAGTTATGTCCACTTGTGTCACCCCAAAGGGGGGTTCTACAAATTTGAAAACAGCTAAAAATAGGTCTGTAGCACTGCAAAATGAGAGACTGGAAACAGGTAGCAAGCAGCAAAAAGAAAAAGTCACTGGAAAAAGGTTAGCTTGATTAGTGGAATATCAAGACCACTAAAAAGGAGAGAACTCATTAACACCTGATGTGTATAGCAATAAGCCATTAAGTCATTCAGACAGCTGCCTGAATACTAAGTGCCCAGCAGTTGCTTTTAAACATTGTATAGGGTAGGAAACAAAGTGGGGTGTTTCTGTTTGGACAGAAAGTAAGCTTCTGCTAAAACAGGCACCCCAATTTTGGAAAGCTAATTTTGGGGGGCTTGGTATACAAGTAAATCAGCATTTTGGCTTGGAATGTAAAGATTTGCATCATCTCCTGGCATTATCTTTTGTAAATGCTATTTACAGTGCACCATTTGGAATCAGAGAAAAAAAAGCTTCCACGTAAAATACACATTCTTTACAGTTCTGAAATTTTTGCCATTTTTCAAAAACTGGCTAATTTCAATAAAAGTAAAATTTCTGTGAGACACTTTGCAACATCCAAGATGTTTATTATAAGCTTCAACATTAAAATTACAGCAGTTTAAGTAATAGAAAAGAAATATCTACAGTCAACACTTAATAAATGTTTGATCAAATCATTTTTATCATCATTTATCTATATCAATTAAGGTGTTATGGCAAGCAGGGACTGACAAATCTAGTATTCAAAAGTCCTAATTCACACGCGGCTGCTCATCTAACCAAACACACAAGGTTGGTTACTACGTAGATTAAAAAAACCCCAACATGATCTTAGGGATAAAAATGTATCCTTTTGACCCATACTGAAATTCCTGTACAACCTAAAATTAAAGAATATGCTAGAGGAATGTACTTTTCTGTAGAAACACACATGTATATTTCCCTCTCGGAGTTTGAAGGAGACATTTCAAGACCATATAAGAGTAAAAGGTGCTTTTACAAGCATCAAGTTTATATAGCAAATTTATTCCTCAGACTTTCGCTCTCAAAATTGAACAGCAAGGTGTCCAAGGATTTCTCAGTGACAACCAACAAACACCTCGTTGTATTTGGACAGAGATTTTTTTTTAGTAGAACTTTTTCCGTCAGATTTTTTCTGCTTGAAAATAGGTGAATTCAGAAAACAAGCGTCTGTAAATGGATCTCCTCTTCTGAGTTTCCTGTCAAAAAAATTTAGCAAAATTAAAATTTTGAAAAGTGTTAGATGCAAAAACGTTAGTGTAGTTCACAGCTTGGAAGTCAGATTTTGCAATTCTTATTAGTAATACAAAATTTGCAAATCCCAAGCCTCCAAATTATTTAAAATGTTTTCCCCACAAAATCCAAGTCCACTAACAAGCCCAACCTGTAAATGAGCCCTCTCAACAGCTTATATAATGGCAAATAATATACTAACCCAGAAATACTTGGTTCCTTATAGTTCACACTGACAGTACATCTGCGTTTGCAGTTGGGAGCTCCTGTTCTTTCTTCAATATTAAGGACTGGCTGAGACATGCTATTTTTTTTGTCATGAAATGAAGAGATGTTGGTAACATCAGAGAGAGAAAGGCGAGCACCCTCAGATGACTGAGCAGGTACCACAGCTGAAAAATGTAATGGATATTTATCATTAGTATTGCATTGTTCTACCACTATTATTCATTTAAATTCACTTGCATGTAATATTTCCTAAACTGAGGATTGAAAGGTTTCTCCATCAAGAGAAAGATCTCTGGTCCTCAATACTGATATGAGCTCTAGTAGTTGGTTTAAAACGCAAAACAAAATAAAAACTCCCACACATTATGAGTTAAGTTGTTTAACCTTCTTATTTCAGCCAGTAATTTCTGCAGAAAGCCCACAACTTCTGCTAAAGACATCATTTTTAGAAATCTAGCTAGACTTTATTTAGAAGACCCTTAAGTGATATAGAATCTGCTCTTTTCCTACATGTAAAATGTTTTAAAAGTTACTCCTTTAAAAATTTGCCCTTTATTTTTAGTTTCAATTTGTCTAACCTCATCTTCCAACCATTTAATCTCATGTTTTTCTGCACTAGATTAAAAAAGCTACTTAGCTAATAGTAGGCAGTAGACATTTAGTTTATTCATAATGTTCTCCAGTACAGCAGTTCCTGAACTCTGACACATTGTGCACCACCAATTTAAAACGATACCACCTTAAGTATACCAGCAAATTTTTATCATATAAAGTAATTATAATAAATCTGTTAATGTGTACCACTGTCAGGTTGTCTGTGTACCACTGGTGGTACCCATACCACAGATTGGGAACCGCTGCTCTAAGACTAATAGACTTCTTAAGTCTCACCATAAGACATTCCCCGGGCTTCTAGTCTTTTTTTGTAGCTCTTTACTCGTTTAATCATCATCATCGGAAGCATAGACACAGCAACCCAGTAATGGCTTCAACACCAATGCAGAGGCAATACTCCCTCACTTCAACTTGATATTCCAGTGTCTGTACATCTAAAGATCACATTAGTCTTCTTTTACCTACCATCTTGTACTGAAAGCTCATGTTCCATTGTCTATCACATACAATCCTTGCATGCTTTGCAGTGTCATTCTAGGTCAGAGGCGGGCAATTATTTTGGGTGGAGGGCCGCTTACTGAGTTTTGGCAAGCCATTGAGGGCCGTGTGATAGGCAGCCAGGGGCAGATAAATATTAATTTTCTAAATTTTTTAGGGTCCCTGCAGGTTGGACAGAATAGCCTGGCGGGCTGCATGCAGCCCCTGGGCCACATTTTGCCCACCCCTGTTCTAGGTTATAACCCCCATCCTAAGTATGACCCACAGCCTTTTGTCCTTAGACAGGTGAGTTTGTTTTTGGATGCTGTGACTAATGCTACGAAATATTCAAAGAATACTGTTGCATTTGTTACAGGTCTCTTTTTTGAGTTTGCTCCTGCCCCAGTGAGCCAGAAATACAATAAAGTAGAAGCAAGCTTTCTGCAGGAGTTAAAGCCAAAACGGTAATTAATGCAAATTCCCAAAACAATGCAAGTAGCAAACTGTTCCAAATTTCATCCCTCTGACAGAAAGTGTAGGTTGAAACTGTACAAAACTAATAGCTCTGACCTGGGCTATGGTCCCTTATGCTGCTTTTGAAAAAAAGATAGAAGGTTATAACAGAGATAGAGGCCCTGTAGAGAACCTGCAATGCTTCCGAACTGCTGAGGCCTCCAGGAGAAGGATACATCCTGTTAGCTAAATGTGGGTATAACCTTATTCTGTTTTAAAACATTTTATTAAGAATAGACAGCCTTCTTGAGAAGTACCGCTTTATGAGCTGGATGGTCACTGAATAATTAAGTGAGAAGAGCTGCAAGTGCTAAAATGAAGTGAAATCTGTCAGTAAGGTCACAGTGAACTGCAGGAGTCTACAGTTTAAAATCCCCACCCCCTTCCCCCACTCTAGAGGACAGCTCGTAAAATTCTGCACTGACAAAAGGTGACAGCTAGAGAACTGAGCTCTGAGGAGGCCCCAAGGGGGTCAGAGACCCAGTTAATTTGAGAACTGCATTAAGTATATTAAAACAGGTTCACAAGTTCAATCTGCCAAGGAATCTGGATCAGTTGTATAATCAATCTGTCCTTATCAGCATTTACCACTTAATCAATTTGCATCATCTGCAAAATTTTAACAGCAATGTTTCTCTTACTAATCACTGTTGAGCTTTGAGCCAATAACTGATCCCCAAGGGATCTATTAGACATTCCAAAGATCAAATCCCCCACTTAGAACTATTTTGAGATTTAACAGTTAGCTCCTTTTAATTCTCTAAATATGGGCATCTTATGTAGGGCTCACATTATTCAGAATGTCAAGAAGAATTAAGTCAAATATCTTATGTAAATCTTAAATCTCTTACAATAGATACTGTTATGCAGTAAATGTATACGCCCATAAAACCTAAGTTTTATAAAAAATAAGTCTTGTCACAATGTTCATTAGTATTAATTTATGAATAAATCCCATATTATCCCTACCACGACTTCCCTCAGGATTGATGTCAGGCGTATCAAGCTTACATCAACCTTTACTGTAAAGCCATCCAATTCATTCTTTTTAAAATGTAGCATATTTGCTTGTTTCCAGTCTTCTAGAAGCTCCCCAATATCTCAAAACTTACTAAAAATTAACACCAGTATTTTTAGAAGTTATTTGAAATCAGCAATATTCTGTTGAATCAGATCCTAAAGCATAATTTTTTTTTCCTGAAGTCAGGGTGGATGTTAACAATACTTTCCAAAAATGATTGTACTCTAGATATTCGATTTTATGTTGGTACAGCACCCAAACAAAATGGAATCCTGATCCTTGACTGGGTTCTTAAGTGCTATGATAATAGAAAATAATAAAAAAATTACCCTTTGCAATACTACAATACTTGTCTAGAAGAGGAATTCTCATCTCTTTATTCATATTATGTGGAGGTGAATGTGATTTTACTTGATCTGCTTTCACTAGTGTTAGACTCGTGGCTGATCTTCCTAGTTGTGGAATCATTAGCCACTGGGGTATTTGCTGTTTTGCTTAGCATGTGATAGCCAAGGGAAGGAAGGGGTAGCTACCTTGGCACCTGATCCCCCTTGTGGTCCACCCAGCTTGTAGGTCCTTACCTGGTGTCACCTCACCTCCAGGTGTCTTGCCTGCCACAACTTTGATGTTGCTCCTTTGGCTGCGGGGAGAAAGGGGTCTCTGGGGCTGGGCATGACCTGGTGGGTCCCAGTCAGCAGGGATCCTGGTTTTCTCTGTTTAAAAACAAACAAACAAACAAAACCAAAACAACAACAACAACAAAATCAGACCCTGTGATTAGAAATCCATGTTTTTCCTCAGTTAAAATAAAACACTACTAATATATATCTATAGATATATGTACAGGTATCAGCTGAACACAAAGTTTTATTAATATATTTAGTTTTAAAGCTATTTGGAAGCCTAACAGTGTGTCATTATAATAAAATAAATTCTAAATACTTGTATATTTTGACATTTAATTTTGATTGTTTTTTTTTATCATGGAAAATCAGAGCTCCCCTGCCCCCTTCATTCACCAGGATGTGGCTCCTGTTGTGGCTGTGCCACCCAATGTTTTGTGGCACTGAACAGCTCTGATGTGCTAGCACCCTGCCCCTGCTCCTCACTCCCAAGCAACAGCCCCCACACTCCTACTGGTGCCCCTCACTCCTGACCCACAGTCTCCAACACCCCCAGCATGTGTGGGGAATGGGGGCAGGAGGATGGGTGTGAACACAGGAGATGTGGGTCGGTCCCTAGTGTGAGCACAGGAGATGTGGGTGGGTACCTCCACAGCCCAGTAGGCGGGACCCAGAGTGGGAGGGAGCACTTCATTGCCATGGCCACCAATGTGAGGTGCAGCAGTGTGGAACTGTGCCCTCTACTGCTGCTGGGTGGGCTGGGGGCACTTCACCTTGGTAGTTATAGTGGTGCTGGGTCCTGCCTGCTGGGCTGCAAAGGCAGGTCCTGCCTGGAGCTAGTCCAGCCCAGCTGCAGCCCTGCACCCCACTGTGGGTACAGAAATCTGGGGGGGGGGGGGGGGCCACATGCCCCTCCCCCCTGCATTACCTGTGCCCTCCACCCCCCTCAATGCATCGCCTGCAATTCCCTCCTAGACATACCTGGAGGGAGCTTTCCACTGAACTGCTTGGCTGCCATGTGCATGTGCATGCATGCAACATTGCCTGTCCCCCGCTCCTCCCAGCCCCTTGCAGCTGGAACTCAGCCAGCCTGCAAAGAAAAAATCTGTGGTTTCCTGTGTTTTTCTCCTTAAAGGTGTTTTTCTCCTTAACTCAGCCAATCAGGTTAGCCCCATCCTGGGCCTTTGCTGTCTCTCTGGTACTTCCCCTTTCAGGGGGTGCTCATATAGGATTCTGAGCACTTTTCGGGGTTTCGGCTGTTACAGCTGCGGCTCCTTTGTCTCTGATCGTACCCTCCACCTCAGCCTTCAGGGATCAGCTTTGCCTTGAAAGCAGCCCCCCTCTCCTAGGGATCCACTTTCACTTTGCTACTCTCCACCCCTCTGGTGTGGGGCCAACTTCTGGTACCTATTGCAGGGAAGTGCACTCAGGCACCCCCTCCTTGTAGCCTCCTCCCTACAGCTATAATCTAGTCCTCCAATTACAAGTCCAAAATGGAATGGAAAAAAACATGAGTCAACTGCTTCATAAATAGTTTCCCCAGGGGTAGTGTTGCTCGCAGGCCCTACCTTTCATCACCTGCAGCTCTCTTGGGCAGCTTGCAAGGGCCTGTTTCCCTGCTGCAACTCGTCTCAGGCTCCTCTCCCTGTTGCAAGTTGGGACTGCTCCCCAGCCTGCTCAGAGACTGGCTTAAATCCCCCAGCTCAACCTCCTTTTGGTCACATGCTTGGCCCTTCTGCCCCTCTCTCCTAGGGCCAGGTGTAGCTAATGGCCTTTTAATCCCTGGTTCAGTCCCTGCACTGGCTGCCCTGTCTGACCCCTGCTTTCCTATCTATTCGTGTTTTCCTAGCAACAGGGAAAGGGGAAAATAAAACACACCTGCAAATTACCAACTCTCAGTTCTGTTTTATACAGTCCATTTGATAATATATATTTTTTTGCTTTCACAAGAAAGCCATATATGATCTGCTACATGTCTTACGTACAAAATGAGAACACATTTTTTTATGTGCAATCTAAACTGTAATGGGCTTATTTGACAGCCAGGAAATTGCCTAACATGACTGGGGACTTGTTACTTACTCCTGAAAGACCCATAACTGAATGTTTTTTTCCCCCCCTATTGGTTGTTGCAGCAGTTATAACAGCCTGGGAAGAGACCCTGCTGCATGGACAAAATGGTAAGTGGTTTGAAAATTAACTTCTGACAATGCTCTGAATAACAAAGTAACAAGCTTTAATGATATGCTAAGCTGGGCACACACAGATGGGGGACTTACCTCTTTAAGTAACAAGGTATTCAGTCTTAAATGATGTGCAAACTATTAAATCTGTTTGGGATCACAGGAAATCAGGGCTGAAAGAGACCTCATGGAGGTCAGCTAATCTAGGCCCTGTTCAAGGCAGCATCAACCCCTGACTAAACCATCCTAGCCAAGTGTCTGCCCAACCTGCTCTTGAAAGTTTCCAAGGACGGAGATTCCATACTTCTCTAGGCAACCTGTTCTAATGTTTGACCAAGAAAGTTTCCCCTAATCTCCAACCTAAAATTTCCCCTGCTGCAGTTTGAGGCCATTGCTCCCAGTCCTGTCCCTTCTAGCCATGGACAAAACCTAATCTCCATCCTCTCCATAATCGCCCTTCAGGTATTTGAAGACTTAACAAATCCCTCCCTCAGTTGCATCTTCTTCAGACTAAAATAACCCTGGTTTTTTCTGCATTTCTTCATAAGTCATGTTTCCCAAGTCTCTAATAATTTTTATTGCTCTCCCCTGGACTCCTTCTAATCAACCCACATTTTTTTTTTTTTTTTGAAGTGTGGAGTCCAAAGCCAGACACACTATTCCTGGTGAGGCCTCATCAGTGCCAAAGAGAACAGAAGAAAAAATTCCTTTGATTTGCAAATGTCATTGCTATTAATACAACCCAGTATGCTGTTGAATATATATATTTTACAAGAACACATTGTAACCCCCTGGTCCTTCTCTGCAGCACCGCAGCCTAGCCAGTCCTTCCCCATTCTATATTTGTGCAAGAAATTATTCTGTCCCAATTGTCCTAGATGAATTTCATCTGATTTATCTTAGACCATTTCTCAAGTTAGTCTCAAAATATGGCCTGCAGGCCAAATCTGTCCCGCTGAGGGATTTTGCCTGGCTTGTGGTGTGTCCATTGGTCCCGCCTAGCCTAGGTGTGGGAGGCAGCCCAGACTGTCATCTGCGGGGGGCACATGGCCCCCCTGGGTGCACAGTGGGGCTGGAACAGCAGCACTCTAGCCCATCTGTTCCGCACCCACTGCCAGGATTGAGATCCATACGAGAAGGATGTGGCCAGGTGGCTGGGATGAAGCCGCAGGCAGGTGGGTGGAGCTGAGGAGACTCCGGGATCTTGTGGCAGTGACAATGTGGGGCCAGGGCCAAGCTACAATTCTCTGCCCACAGGTCACTGCAAGAGGCACTGGTTCCACAGGCAGGAGTGTGCAAAGAGCGGATTGCAGCTCTGTCCTGGCCCTGTGCTGTGTCCACCCCAAGATCTCGGCTTCAAACTCAATTCTGTGTCCGCTTGGCCATGTGCCCTGCCCATGCAGCTCCCGGCTGGTCTCCATGAAGACCCCAGGATTGTGGGGTGGTAACAAGAGCCCCAGTTCCACAGGCAGCAGCTCTACCTTGGTCCCATGCTGTCACCACCCTGCAATCCCAAGATCTTTATTGAGACTGGCTGGGAGCCTTGTGGGCAGGGTGCTCAGCCAGATGGCGAGGGAGCTGTGCCTAGGGCCAGATCCGGGATCTTGGGGCAGTGACAGTGCAGGGCTGGGGCAAAGTCCCAATCCACTCCCTACAAGGACCCCTGTTGCAGGGCGGTGTGGGCAGTGGATCATGGCTCTGCCATAGCGTCGTGCCGTCACCGGCCTGCCCTGTGGTCCTGGCCTTGCCTGCCACCCCATGGCCCCATTCCACACAGGGAGTTTTGGTGACCTGTTGTAGGGGACAGGGTGCTGACCCAGCTCAGTAAAACTCCTTATGTTGCCCACGTGCCCAAATAATTGCCCACCCTTGAGTTAGATCAATGTTGATTCCCTAGTCACTTTTAAAAGAAGGAAACTTATTTTAAAGACCTTTATAAAAAGATTTGCAAAAGAGGAGAAATTAACTACAAATGCAAGCCTTAACAAATTGAGGCTGTTCAGTGTTTTGTCCCCTTCTGGAATATTGAGTTCAGCTACACTCAAAACCCCCGAAAACCAGGAATTATGGGAATTAAGGTGTATCAGATATACCTGCAACAATCTTAACTTTGCCCTCTTCTGAGTTCTCCCCAACACGCTAACCGCATACATACTACCATTCTTCTATTTGAGATTCTCTAGCACAGGAGTGAGCATAATGCAGTACGCCAGGCCATTCTATCCAGCCTGCGGGGCCCCTAAAAAAATTTAGAAAATTAATATTTATCTGCCCGTGGCTGCCTGTCATGTGGCCTTCGATAGCGTGCCAAAACTCAGTAAGCGGCCCTCTGCCCAAAATAATTGCCCACCCCTGCTCTAGTAGAACACCCTTGGAAGAGAGCTCATGTAGTAGACCACCTCTTCCTTGATATAAAAAAAGCCTCTAGTTTAGATCACATGTAGCAATCAGCATCTACCTCCATGTGGCCTAAAGTCGAACACTAAGACTGTGCCATACAAATTATCCCCGATTTGCTGAACAATACCACATTTTCTTCCTTGCCTGAACCATTCACTCCAAAACATTGCTTTCACTTAGTCCTCACTAGAGGTGGCATTCTGCTATTTTGTCTAAGCATCTAGGTTTGCATGACAAAAGGCTGTATATATACTAGAACTTTGGGGGCATTCTGTTACTTTTTTGCCTTAGTGGTCTAAATCTGGGCATCCAGACTTGACTACGTGTCTATCCCCTGATGACAGCAACCGTCCCACCCGGGGGAAACAGGACCCACAGAGGCAATCTCCTGAGGGGTAATAATGAAAACATCTGAAGTGGGAGCTCTGCCAAACTGCACAAGCCTAACATCCAGAAGAGGAGCAAGGTATAAAAAACAACATATTAAATAGCAGCCTCTAAAAAACTACCTGGGGGTCAGAGAAAAAGTGGCAAGCCCAGCCTCACTGTCAGGCTCCTCTTAAGGGGCATGGTAGGCAGGATAGCCAGTGCTGGGTAGGGGTTGTAAAGTCAGCCCACCAGGATCCCCAACTTCATAATGCAGGAACTTCTAGTCATCAACCAGTTCATGGGGGGCAGGGAAACCGTAAGGAGATGATTGAGTGTATTTTGTACAAGGTAGTACTGTGCTGAGATGCTGGCACTGCAAAGCAGTGATGTGGTACAAGACATGCTGTGCCTTTTTCCAAACTAGAAGTAGTGCTGCTGCATTAGTGCAGCACTGTGTCCATGCAAATAAGTTCTGTGCAGAGCTTAGATGCATCCCAAGAGATTTTCCTGAAATGCTGACGTTTAAGGAAGCTGTAGAAAATCCCTTGCTCTAATGATACTAAGTTTGGGTCACTAACCCTTTCTTCCATCCCAATTAAGCAAAAAAATCCAAGTTAAACATTTGGGTTTTAGAGTAGCTAGAAGAGCTGTTTTGAAATATCCAGCATTTCACAACTTTAACGACAGCAAAGCTACTGACCTATTGTAACAGATTACAGTCTTTCTATAATGGTATTTTTAGATGAGTGATTTTCTTTAGGCTGTTTAAGGACTTGATCTGGAACACAAAGAAGTTTCCTCAAGAAGCACTAGGAGTGCTCAACCTTTTTGGTCTTGGGTTGGTGGGATTGGGCCCTAGTCCCACCCTCTACAGCTGGGAATTGGATGCCAGGAACCTGGCCCCACTTCTTCAGGAGCTTGGCATCATCCCCTCCTGCACCCACATATTTGGGATCGGATCCTGAGAGCCTGGCAGTGCCCCCTCATATCTGTGCCTGCTGGGATTGGTCACCTAATCCAATGCAAAGGGCTGGTGCTTCTCATAGGTCTGATGCTCACATTGGGTCTGAAAATGTGGCAGTAGGGGAGTAGTACCACCCCTTCCCCACTGTCAAGTTTCCAAACTCGTGGGGAGCCCTGTGGGCTGGATAACATGGTGCTGTGGACCAGGTCTGGCCTGTGGGTCGGGGGGGTGAGCACCCCTGTACAACACCACAGTGCAATTTAAGACACTTATTTTTGAATTTATGCTTTTTTGGTTTCCTGATTTGCCTCATACCTGAACTCTCTTGAAATATATTAAATTTGTGAAGAATTTAATGGTATCATAGAAGTGCTGTATTTTAAGGGATTTTTTTTAAACAGAAAAAGTACACATTAAAACTACAATTTATCCTAAAGGAGGAATATGAACATTTACCAAAATGCACCTTGCATATTTCAATAACTTACAAAATGCTCTCTGAACAGTTTACTTACCAATAGATTTTTTTTTTCTAGTACTCTCAGTCTCTTCTTCAGAGGAATATTTCTGTTGATTCAAAACTAGAAGTCTCTTAGATTGTGCTCTTGTTGGGATTGGTATTGTATCATTGCTGTCTTCCAAATTCTTCTTGTATTTTGACTTACTTTGATAAGGCACAAAAGGGCTATCTTTTGAATCCACATCTGAGTCATTTAACTCACTGCTGTCTATTTCATCTTCAGATAGATCCTTTCTGTCCTTCACATCATTGTTCCTATTATTTACCTTATTTTGAAGGAAAGGTGTGATATGGACACTCTCCTCCAAAAGAAAATCATAAGCATCTCTTGAGTTAGCAGATGAATCCAGCTTTTCTTTTGAAGAATTTTGTTCACCCTGGTTTTGCTTCTTTTTTGATTTTGTTCTGGAATTTTGATTTTTAGTTCCTTCCAATTTTCCTCTCTCTTTCCTTGTTCGACAGTCTTTTCTGCTTTTAAGCTGAGTTTGTTTACGTTTCGGTTCTACAACTGAGCAGTTCATGTCAGTTAATTTATTTGCCTGATCCACCACTGTCTGCAAGTTTATCTTGTTTTTATTTAGTTGAGAAGGATTTGGTTCTATAGTTTCTATATTACCTTCTTCTAGACTTCCCTGAAGTCCAGTATCATCTTGCTTATAAAATTCTCTAGTCAAGTCAGGCATTTCTGAATGGTCAACGTTATGGATGCAGCGGTCATTCTGAGTTTTCAACTTTGAATAGCGATGCCTGGTGGACACATTTTTTGGTAACATATTACCAACTTCCATATTGTCTTTGGTGGAAGGAACATTGTCCAGCTTAGACTTTTCCAGTTTATCCAGATGAAAATCAGATGTTTGTCCTTAAGATTTAAGAAAAAAAATAAATATACAAACTGAATTTTTGATTTGGAGTTATTTAATTTATTGGCAGTTTGCCCATATGCTTAAGTTTCTGAATCTTAGAATTTTCTGAAGTCAGTTGACTCGCAGCATAAAAGCAACTACAAAAACAACCCTTATTAACAAAGTCTCCAGAAAGGAATTCCAAGCGAAGCTAGGACCCAGTTTTTTCAAGGTATAACTCTAATTTTATTCATGTGCTTAGAAGACAAAATATATTTTGCCCTTTGTGAAGGCTTTGGCATTAGTTAACGCCATTTTTTTTTAGTTCAGGTCTGAATGTTTTTTATTTTACAATCATGTTACAGAAAAAAAAATTGTGCGCCAACAACAAACATTAACCTGTACCTAAATAAGGTTATTCTTTCTAAATTGACCAGCAGGTATACAAAGTAGTTTCTATATGACATACTGCCTTCTAGTCCATAGTTTCTTAACCTGTGGTACATGTACCCCTGGGGGTATAAGAGAGACAGGCAGGGGGTATGTGGGTACCCCAACACTCTCTCTCTTGCCCTCTTTTCCTCTCAAAACTATGGCAAAAATTTGGTGTGCCACTGCATGGCACTTTAAATTGCCCAGTAATAATTTGGCATGCTATGCTTTGCACGGCACTGGGTTTAGCCCTCCTAGCTTTGGCCAACATCACCTCTAGCCCAGGTACATACTTGAGTTGTGCACCCCTGGTGTAAAAGGTAGCAACCCTACCCACACCAGATCAGACATCTGTCATATCACGGCCTTATATACACAGTCCTTCCAACATATGGCACACATTAGCCTGCAAATATAAAATCCCCTGGAAAATTGAGTTTTGGGGTACTTGTTAAAATCTTTAGAAGTTAGGGGGTACTTGCTACTTAAAAGGTTGAGAAACACTGTTCTAGTCCATCCTTTCCCCGCCTCACAATCTCTCTGGTAGCGTTTACAAATGTTTTCATTGGCTAGATTTATTCTTAATTTATTTTCTTTTTCTGCACAAACGTTTCATTATAGTTTTATTTTAGAGCATCCCTCCAGCTACATACTCTCCAGAAGCATAATGGTGGACATACAATTTCTTTAAAAATGCACTAACTTTGTAATCCTGTATTTCCAGGGGGTGCAACCCAGAGCTGCAGGGCAGTGGGGCTGCACAAGAAAGCTGGTTGCAGCTGCAATTGTGACCTCTGTGCCGCCCTGGCAATGTGTCCCCTGTGCACATGGCTGCAGCAGGGACAACAGCGCAGGGCAGTGTGCTTACAGCTGCAAGCAACTTTCCTGCAAGGCCCCACTCTGCCCTGCAGCGCCAAATCAAACCCGCTGGGCTGGAGGCCCCAGGGGAGGGCAGCAGGGCGGGAGCTCGAGCCTGCCCCACACATCTGGAGGGCACGGGTCCCCCCAACCTGCTGGGAGTGTGCGCAGTGGAGGGGAGTGGGCCCCACCTGAGCCCACAGCTGGGCGGTGGGGGTGCAGAGCCAGGCTCTGCTCGGCTGCAGCAGCCACTGCCACCTTCCAGGGGCAGGGAGTTGTGGACCTGGGTCCCTGGCCCCATAGCCCTGGCAGCTGGGGTCCTCCTCTGGCAGGGGGTTGTGGGTGGAAGGGTAAGGGGCCTTTCATTTTAATCAAGGATTTGGGGGGGTTTAAATCAGAGAATTTGTGATTTTTTTTTATTTTTTTTTTTAAATCAAGGAAAACCAGGATCCCTGGAGAGAAGAATAGACAGAAACTTTATAACTCCTGGGCAAGCATGTACAGGTTTCCCTCTGTGTGTGCAAATTCGCTCTTCTGTGATGACCCTTTTTATATACAAAATTTGTTATATGCGAGGTAAATTCACTCTGATGTGATCACTGTGGTGGAAGCCTGCAGTCAGCTGCTCTGAGGTGCATTGTGGGTGCACACCCCCCCACCTTCCCCAAGCAGGTAAGTCTGTGGGGGAGGGAGTGAAGGGACTTGGGGGTGGGGGGGGAAATAGTTCAAGGCCCCCGCAATGAGGGAGGAAGTGGGGCCCAGGTTAGGTGGTGGGACAATTAGAACCCAGGCAGCTCGTCCAGGGGTGCTGGGGGCTCCCCCTATCCCCGTGCCAACACCATACGTGAGGGGTGGCATGACGGTGGCACTGCTGTGAAGCCCCCGGCCCAGGGACAGCCCCACTCGGCTCCTCCACAGCACGGCCCAGTAGTCCTGTCAGTGCAGCACCCTGGGAGCTGGGAGCCACGAAGCCACCTGGCAGCAGTGCCTGCGGCCGCTGCTCAGGGCAGCTGGTGCCCGTGCTTCTGCAGCTGCCCCAGGAGCGGCGCAGGGGTCAATACAGTTGACATCTTGGAATGTATCCCTATTTGTTACATTTTAAAGTGGGTTCCCTTTATGCGAATTCGAGTCATGCACCATTTTCTAGGAATGCATGTACAACATAAAGGAAGGGAAACCAATACAGAAGGCCTCTCCCACAAGATTAAAAAGAAAAGCCTCTTGGATATTTGCTATAGTCCTACTGTCCTTCAGGAAGTTTAAGTGCTGATCAAACAACCTAAAAATTTATTATTTTAAAAGCTGCCGATGTACTACAAATGTGGACTGAATAGCATGCTAATTTAACAGCCTTTCCTCTTTTTAAAGGTCAGCATTTTACAAGATAAAAGCCAAAAAAGGAAAGCCAAAATCCAGAAAGAAAATGAAAGGGATGGTTTAAGGAACAGTGCTTAAAAGCTTTGACTATGTTATAAAAAAAAAAGGTTATTACATATTACTCTAGCTTCAAATGGGAAGGAAAATGCACACACATGTAGTTCATACTTAGATTTGGTTACCTGTGTCTGTAGCCATTTTTGTAAGGGCCTGCGACAAATATGGTACAAAATATGCATCATTTGTATCAGTATCATTCTCTGTTCCATTTCCAAGCATTTCACATTCTGTGCTAGTATCTGCAACAAGAACACGTTGTGGAAGTCTCCTAGGAACAAGATTTGAAAGTTAATTGTATGTCTTAGGACAATTAATTTTTATCTCTTTATTACAGCAATTTCCTTCCTTTACTTCCTTTTGTATTAATCCTTTACAAATTCTAGTTAAAGCACTTAAAATCTCATATGAGAACGATGCCAAGGCATGTTTGGTTTAATTTAATATTAAAATTCTGTATGTCCTTTCACTTGAAAGCCTTTTTTTTTTTCCCTGCCACTAGATTCTCACCTCCAACATTTATGTCTGTATAGGCATTCAACTTTTTAGCACTGCATAATATTAAAAAAAATAAAGCTAACATTAGCATTTTTTTAATCCTTGGAAAATGCCTCTACCAAAATTCCAGGAATTCAACCACTAATTTATTGCATATGAGAGTTTGACCATCACCTTCTAAAACAGGGCTGTCCAACCCTCCCCAAGCCAAATGATATTGAATATACTGTGGAAGCAATAATCTTCACTCTTCAACTGTTCTCTCTGTTGCACTGAACAGAACAACTCTTCCAGATACTTCAAGAGTAGTAATCCTTAACCTGATTTTTGAAGAAGGTGCAGACACTTCAGTTTATTAGGGAAGAGTTTTGCTTAGGGATTGCCCCATCAATCACTAAGCAAATGCCATATACCAGAAATGCAGTCACATTTTTTTATTGGCCAAACATACAAACAAGACTTCAGCAATCAAGATCTTTCCTCAAAATAAGCAGTAATAGCAACAAAAATGTACACTTTATCAGTCAGCATGGCTCATCCTTCACTATTATTAAGACAGCCTGAAAGGATGTTAAATCAGAATATTTCATATACTACAGCAAACTTTTCCAAGATTAATATAAACACAAAAATACTTACAGAGAATCTTCTTGTCTTAAAATACTGGAGTTATCTTCATGTGCCGAAGAACACATTCTCTTGTTCTGTGGGCAAAATAGATCTTGCTGTATGAAGTAGGAATGTATATCATACTACCAGTAAAGAGGGACACCTTTAAATCAGAGAACCAGAGGCATCAAATCCCTTGGCCCCCCAAATTGCATTTAGATAGCCGGGTGGCTCCTCACAGGCCAGATCTGGACCCACCACCTTCAGTGGTGAGACGAATGACAGCAATATTAGTTGTTATGAGCTTGCGAATAACAGGGATTATTAATACTCCTATTGCTTCCACCAATGGGGCTCCATACACAAGAAGTTAGCAATGGATCCTGCCCCAAATTCCGAGTTCCTCCAGGAGCCTTCCTGGGGCCAGATAATGTGGCTGGATCTTTGACAACCTTGCTTTAAGCCATTTGTCTGAAAATATTATATGCATTACAGTTAATATCACTCATTATTATGAGTGATAGAAATAAAAAGATTTGCTCTGTGCATTTAATAGCTACTTGTTGGTAGTCAGTTTAATGGTAGTCATTTGTCCCCTTTTTTAAATGAGTAAAATGTTAACATGAGCACCTACTTTTCTACAGGAATTCTTAAAAAAAGAAATAAAAAGAGAATATACAATTTTAGAAGGATGTAGCAGATACTGACACAACCTAAAGTCAATTTTGAAAAAAGTTACGTTGAGGTACTCTCACAATAGAATTTGCCTTTTGGTTATAAATATAGTAGCATAGTGCCATTCTTTTCAAATCCCCTTTGGTAAGGCTTCACAAAAAGTCATAAGCTTAGACATGTATGTTTTTAAGCAAAAAAGAATTAAATCTCAAATCAGGTTTTAGTAACCCAGCAGTTAAAAGAAAAGTTTATGACTTGTTGTAGGACCTTTACTGTTATCTAAAAGCTGGCAGAAAAAGTAACAAATCTGAGCCAAATATGGCACAGACGACTCTAAAACATGCATGTCCCTTCAGAAATTATTTTTATAAATGACAGAGTGGAGAGAGAGATGTGACATCTTCACAGCTAAATATTGTCAGTTTTCTGTCCCCTAAAATTTTACAAAAAAGTAGCCTCTATAGTTTACTAACATGTAAAAAATTTAGAGATTCTGGACTAAAGTATGCCTCTAATAACCCTAAGTAATTGCATTGCTTTATTTACTGTACTGCCAGCATCTCATTTTCCCTCCCTGATGGGAGGATTTCAGGTCTATAGTACTAAGTCATTTTGTTTCATGTATCACACTGATATACTTAGGCAAAAAGCTCTCCAGCTTAATTTTCTGAACAGTATCAAACATCCAGTTTGAGTTTAGAAAGAGTGGGATTTTTAGAAGTGCTGAAGTTGCTTAGGAGCAGAAGTTCTATTGAAAGTCAGTGGGACTTCTGCTCTTAGATCACTTTTGAAAAAAATCCTAAGGAAAAAAGCCCCTCACAATCCACAACAACATATTTAAATGTGAGGAAAAATACACAGAATGGACTTACTAGAGCCGTGAAACACAAATCCTGTGCTGGACGAAGAAGGTCAGCTGTGTCCAAGAGTTTCTGAGCAACTTCAGAAATAATCTTGCTCAAAGCTGACAGTTTAGTCTAATGAGAGAAAAAGAGCAAACAGTTTTATTACATTTGGCAAACTACATAATAGTCCCTCTATTAGGATTAAATTTTTTAAGTATATCCTTTATATTAAATTATAGCAAAGTTACACCAAAA